ATACAGTGAACAACTATCCAATCGGTTCTGTACATCTTGTCACTAGGTTTTTATATCATTTTCAAATTTATAAATGTTTGTGTTAAAAACAAAGATTGGACATTATGTCAGGAGGTTCCTGACCCATTGATACATATTGCTTGTGAAAGTTCAACACTAGATCTAGATCTATATTTAAATACAGTATAACAGAGTTAACAATAATAATGTCTTGTCAAAGAATTTTAGACCTAAATTATGAGCTTACCTTGTGCTGATATGGACCAGACACCCAGGAATGCTAATACTACCGTAATCATAGCCATGTTTCATTGTTCCCTATCTCTTTATGTTTTTAAAATACTTATTTGATTTCCGTTTTTTATCTTTAAATCAAAGACCCAATGCAAATGTTTTAATTAAATGCGCAACAATTTTATGGATAACACAAAAATGCACGCCTTTATTTGTTAACAAGCCATCGGTAGGCCTACCCGTTACACTTAAATTGTAGACTTATATTTTTAAAAATGTTATACTTGTTTGAGAGAAATGTTTTATATAATAGTTATTGGTCAAAAGACAGTGTGCTTTACTACACATTCAACTACACAAGTCACAAGGCAAAGACATAAATAGATATAAATCCAACACATTTACTACCAATACTTATAAGAAAAATTAAAACCGCATTTAATACATTATTTGTCAACACAACAACATATCAAATGCCTATACTGATTAAGTTACTTAGATGTTTCCGTTAAAAACCTGTCTTTTCAATGGTATTTTTTTAAAATAATTACTTTTATAATTTTTTTCTGACATCTCTGATTTAAGACGCCATGCGTTACGCACACGGACACGCGCACACACGCACACGGACACGCGCACACGCGCACACGCGCACAAACACACACACACGCACGCACGCACACACGCACACACACACGCACACACACACACACGCACACACACACACCACACACACACACACACACACCACACACACACACACACACACACATACATATATATATATATATATATATATTTGTTTTGGTTTTGGTTGGTTGTGGTTTGGATGGGAAATGCCGGATTTATGATGATTACTAAACACACAGGTAATGGTCTTTAACAGAAAGGTTTTAAACAGAAGCCAGAGCAGGGCCTGGCCGGGACGGCTAGTATATATATATATATATATATATATATATATATATATATATATATATATATATATATATATATATATATATATATATATATATATATATATATATATATATATATATATATATATATATATATATATACATACATATATATATATATATATATATATATATATATATATTATAATAACATGCTTATATGTTTGCTCGATGTCATGTCGTAGTTGGTTGCAAAAGTCAATGTTTCTTTATGACTGATTCATAAGCGTTTATGAAATTCTGTTTTGCCAAGTATAATAATTAAATAGGTTAATAAAAGAAAGTCTTCCAATATGTATTATTGAATTCAACAATGTTTCTGCTAAAATAATGATCGCGACCCATAATTTGTGTACTGTCTTACGAGAGTGAGGCAAGTGAGACTATCAATCACCAACTACGTTCATTTTTTTCAAAATCGACCGGTTCTTACATTGACAGTTGCGTGTGGGATTCTAAAATCAATTTAAAGTAACACATTTTGTTTCGGAATGGAGGTGAGACCAAAGACGTTGCAATAGGCGTCGAACCCTCCCCCACATGTCCGTCTTATTATTTCTAATATTATCAAATGGGACCCCCCCCCCCCCCCCGCAGTTTGCACTATTTAAAATCACAAAAAAAAAACTTTTTTTTCTCTGTAAATTTGCTACCTTTTCAGTTGTTTTCTCTAGAGCGCCCCTCTCTCCACACAATGCAATAACTGAAACCTGCGCACTCATTTAGAGTAAGGTTTATCTGTAGTCGTTTATAAATAAAGTTGGATGTAACATTATTTTCTCTAAATCTAGCAAATTTAGGTGTCACTCGTCCTCCGTCGAACGCTTGAATTTGTATTTAAAATATTGTTTAAACTTTTTAATGAGTACTTGAATAGTTTTTATTATATGTGTTTTTGTAATCTTGTGCCTTCTGTAAGCCCTTAAATGGTGTCACCAAGTCGAGTCTACACCACTGGCCTCCTTGCTCTCGTTGGGAGTTATGTCTTCCGTGAACAATGTTTATGATGTTCGTGTATCTATATATGTTGGATGGTAATACAAACACATGCTAGATTTGTATTCTATTTTACCGATATCGTAATATGATATCGAAGCGTACAAATTATACACACACACGATACACATTGTACTGCCACACTGCACAAACTGTATACAATACAGATTACAAGCACAGACCCACTATAACCAAGCAATCAGCAAACAGACTTAACAAACACATACACACAATACAAACACATTAGACGGCGAGCTAGATGCACAAATCAAATCATTAAAATTGTTATACCTAAAAGCATATACATACAATACACACACATTTCGCGAAAAATACAAATACACTACACACAATCAGTAAAAAAAAGCACATACACGCTAGACACTGACACTAACAACACATGAACACACAACACTCACACAAAATAAACACACTCACTCACACTAACACACAATACTACAAACACACGATACAAACAATACACACAGGCTTGTGACCTACTTAGGTCTCTTTTTGCTTTATGTATATTTAATCTCCTGAGTTATGTATTTAACCTTGGGAGAATTGTCAGTTCACCGGTACAAATCGGTCAACTGAACTCTGTCTCATCAGGTGATTCTATTTTAATCCCTGGCAGAACCTCAACCAATGATCTTGCGACCGTGAGGATCCTTGACAGATCCTCAACCAATAGTCGTAAGACTTTTGAGTTATTTCCCCTATTATTGAATGCTATTTAATCTGGGGATTTTCAAGTTCAAAGGCAGCCAGATTGACTTTTGGACCAGGAGAGTTGTGCCAGTGGTTATGGTCGCCATTTTGCAGTATTGTAATTATGTGAAATGTTTGTTCACCTTTGTATAAGGTATTGTGTGGCTAGTTGTAGTATTTCAACTATTTTGTTCTGGTGTATTATTGCACCTTTTTGATTACTTCGGTGATAGTTTGATCCTTTATTTGGATTTCTATTGTTGTAGAGGCAATAAGTCTCTTCTTGGTTTTTATGGTATTTATGATGCCATTCAGTTAAGTGAAGTATTGATCTTTATTGGTGTATAATATACTAAGCCACAGCTGTGATATATTGTGATTTTCTCAAACTGTAAGTTGGAGTTTTTGAGTTTATTTATTGTACTCTAAGAGTCTGTACATTTTGAACTTACCTAGTGTCATAATCTTGCACATTTATTAAAAATGTATTCATTGTTTAAGTCGTGTGAGTCTCTTCGATTTGTCGTGTTTTACCCCTAGACAGCATTAACGAGCTCACGGCAAGTTGTTGGGATTCCATTAAAGTGACTTCTATCGGTAACATACCAAACGAACCTGGGGTGTCCGCTCCCTGACTGGCTGTCGGAGAGCGGTCCATAACAGGCTAAACACAAAAATAACACACATTGCTACTAACTACCTACACAAACGCTGACACACACTTCACACTTTTTACATATATATATATATATATATAGGCCTACTACACATAAAATATTATGACTATCGTTTTTCGTATTACAAACTCTTTCTAGCTCATTTGTTATGTTAGTGGTCTGATAAAAGATAATAGATAAAACCTTAATGTTATTAGTTGGTACAAAATTCAATGTTAATTGTAAGTATAAAAATTTCTACTATTTTATGGTAGCTAAGAAAGGTTTACAAAATGGCAAGCAGGTTTTATATTATACGAGCCGGCCCGCGGCATAACATACGCCGCTATTTAGTTGTTTCTAATTTTCAATAATTCATAATTTGTGAATTCGACAGTACCAACGCTGACACTGAAAATATTTCTTTAAAACACTATAAGTAGCTCGTTAAGGACCATAACCCCCCCCCCTTCCTTCCCCCCCCTCCCCCCCCCCCCCTACGTTTAAAATCGTTGGCTCTGCTTGTAAACATTTAGAGTGAACACAGCTCACTAAAACCATGTAGGGGTGGGGAGGTAGGGAGAGCGTTTGCAGCTTGTTTTCTAACGGCTCGAAGAGGAGAATTATATATATAGATGTTAATTCAATACTATAAACCAGTGTTCTCCAAACTTTTCAGTCCGAGGGCCGCATTAACTACCAAAGTTCAGTTCGGGGGCCAGTTTCTTCCAGGCATGTCTTTGATTTTTCTGGGCAAAGTTCTTCCGCTATCACCAACAAACATTTTTTTCCTTGGACAAAAAGATCTCCGCGGGCCGGATGAGAGAACCTCGCGGGCCGCATCCGGCCCGCGGGCCGTAGTTTGGAGACCCCTTCTATAAACCATGATGCACAATAATTATATCAGCACGATACGTCGACTTCTGCTTTTGCCTATGATTAGTCGAAGTAAAAGTACACCAATGTAAGACCCACACATCAGGTTCTCCACTTCTCTCTTTGATGTCGCCAGAGCTCTAATTAAGGAAATTCTGACGCAATTTTTTGTAATAAGCTTGGAAAGTTGGATTCAAATGGTTCTAAATGATTGTTGCCAGAAAGCATATTTTTCAATTTAAATGAAATATTTTATAACATTTGAGAAATACGAATTTTGTTATTCAAATTTAGTAAGCTCTAATTAAGGAAATTCTGACGCAATTTTTTGTAATAAGCTTGGAAAGTTGGATTCAAATGGTTCTGAATGATTGTTGCCAGAAAGCATATTTTTCAATTTAAATGAAATATTTTATAACATTTGAGAAATACGAATTTTGTTATTCAAATTTAGTAAGTTTACGTAGACTTTTCAAACACATTAAACGACGTCAGTGGAAATAAAATAAAACCAGGACGGTTAATCTTCCTAACAAAACGAATCAAAGCTTGAGTTATTTATGTTTTCAAATTTTAATGCTTTTATATGATGTTTAATATTATCTTTCAGATGTTATTTTCAGAAATGTTTTTGTAGCTCTTTCACGATGTAAAAAATTAAGAGCTTTTATGGTGTCCTTATAGCACAATATGAGACATATCGCTTGTTGATAAAACTTCCAGATGTTTTTTGTTGCTTTTTTTCCCGATCTTTTAATACATTTTGAGCTTTTATGGTTTCCTTATAACACAAGCTGAGACATATCGCTAGTTGATAAAACCTCCTGATGTTTTTTGCCTTTTATGCGAAGAACAAGACTTTTATTTACCTAAAACAGAGATAAAAAAATAATTATAAAAATGTATTAACTAGCTGCGTCTGTTGACTAAAAAAAAAAAACTAATATTATTAGTAATATTATATACAATTATTCGTTTCCTCAAAGCTACAGCTGCATAAATCTATTATTAAGACCTAACTTGTGTGGTTTGACATTACATTCGTCAGCGGTACAGAAACTTCAGTTTTTATTTTAAAAGCTGGTAAATGTGGTCACCTTTTCTGTTTATTAGATGTTTCTTACCAATCACTTCTTATCGTTTGTATTTAATAATACAAAACAGCGCGTTATTATCAGATAAAAAAAACGACACGACTGATCGCGTCGTGTTTTTTTTTGCAAACTCGACTGAGTGGTCTATTATTAACTGATTTATTTTCATATATATATATATATATATATATATATATATATATATATATATATATATATATATATATATATATATATATATATATACATTAGGCCTACACTTTGTTAAAATTTACCATTCAAAACGAGTGTTCAAGGTAAAATAATGTTCCTACTTATATTGGTCTATTATTAACTGATTTATTTTCTTAGGCGACAAAGTTTCTTTTCTTTTGCATTTAACATAACATATATGTATATAACATTTGGCCTGCACTTTGTTAACATTTACCATTCAAAACGAGTATTCAAGGTAAATTGATGTTCCTACTTATATTGGAAAAAAATGTTAATATTAACAACAGTTTGATCAAATAATGTAAGTAAAACTTTTAAATCGTTATTGCAAGGGAGGTAAATTAAAAAGAAATATATATTAACTATCTTTTGCTTTTTAGTTTTACAAATTCGTAGATATAGGCCTACTTTTTGGTTGTCTATTATTTACCTTAATTTATTTTTCCCGTTGCAGGAATTCTTTTTGATACGTTTAATAAATTAATTCTATACAATGTTAAGACTACATTGTATTTGAATCATAAGTCTTACCCAATAGATTTATGCATATTTCTTTTTTTTTATTCTTGCCGATTTCTCTTAGAAATTCTTTAAACTAATAAAAGACTGCTTGACTGTGTTTAAATCTTGCACATTTTGCTGTCAATCAGAGATAACTACCAACATATTTCCGTTTATAAATAATGCGTTTTTCGGACAAACGTGGAAGGAGCTACATTAATTAATTATGTATCTTTAGGAGACGATATTATATTAATCGAAAACTTCAATGCATGTAGTTATTATTTAGTGTCATAATTTTGATTAATTTAATACTAATTATTCTTTATTATAATTGTTAAAAACTATTAAAGTGATTCTAATAAAATGAAAAATAAGCTTTTTTTCCGTCAAAAAGTATGCTGTTCTTATGGTAGTGTATTCAATAAATCATTGTGCGCGTTTAAAATTGTAAAAATTGAAAAAAAAAGCTTACAATTTTTGCATTGTCATTTATCCCGCTTAAGGTTGTGTAGTGACAAGGTAAGTAGTGAAAGGGGGTGAAATGTGTGAATGTTGTTTGTGCCATCTAGCCCCTTGGGTACCTTATTGGTCAGCCTTCGGACCAAAACATCTACATAAGGTGTCTAATAATGCATCCTAACATCAGCTAATGCTTTAAATTATCTAATTAAAAAAAAGTATTTTTTTTAAGTTAAATTACTCTTCGAAAAGAACTGATCATAAAAATAAAACATATATTACCCATATAAAAGATTTGCAGAACAAATCAGAAAACTCATCAACACGAAGATTAGACTCCCGGTAACTGTCTTGTTTGAGCTCCCGCTTGTTGTGTGTGCGTCGCCTCGAAAACCTGAGGCACAAGTAGATACATTTTCTATAATACAAGCTTCATTAAACAATAGAAACATTTTTATATAGTAGAGAGAATATCGAAAGAAGATACATCTTAAAAGGAAATCACTTAATTCAATTGTTATGTTCTACCACAAAATATTATATCCGCCTTTATTTTACGAGTAACTTATTACTCTTCAATTCAATGTATGTGCTATTATTTAAATATAATACTAGCCATTATCGGTTAGGCTTCGTCCGGACATTCATGTCAATATATAAATGTTCAAGACGATATGTTTCTTTATTAAAAAAAATGTTTTATGAAAAACTAAACCGCAATGCTAAAATATAAGCTATAAACAGCAACAATCAAAACAGTGTAATTCGGAAACTTAACGTGCACATAAAATATCATTCCTCAATAACACAGTTCCTTACACAAATATATGTTAGAAATTTCAAAGTAATAAGAATCGGTTTCATATCACCACAAATAAAGCAGAACTTTATACATTAATTAGAAACATTGATTAGTTTTAATAGTATTATTAATTTATTTAACTGCTGAGACAGTTAGCAAATTAACAAGCAGTTCAAATTGAAATGTTTTACATTATACCGCAACATAATTTTTTTTTATATTTGGAGTTTTTTATCTAAATCTTAATGACAAGATAAATGGCCCGTCGAGGGAGAGATACAAAAGGGCGCTAGATTGATAGTAATTTCTTTTTCTCTCAACCAAAACCAAAACGAAAATCACCACCTAAACCCTCTACCATCCCCCCCAACCCACGCCCATGCAAGTCCCATCTTTAGATACAAATTATATACTTTTACCAGGGTCCAAACACTCTCAGAAAATTTATTCCAACCCGAAAAATTAAAGTTTACGTCAGAATAAGTGACGTCATATTACTGTCTGTACTTTTCCGGCTTGAGACTATTTCTTACTATATTATTATGCTCCATGTGACGTCACCTTTCGTTTTTAATATAACGATGCATGTTTTTATTCTGCCTGTGTTTTCTCTACAGTAAAAGCGATCCCAACAGATTCATAGAAACATAGACAGATAGATAAACAGAATAAAATTATAGATAGGGAGAAAAAAATAGAAAAAAAATTAAATCTATAAATGTATTTCGTATGTTTAATTTCTCCTTACAACTTATATGTATGTTATCAATTTTGTAATTCTCTCGCTGTCTTCAATGCTATTCTATATGTGTCTGTACTCTGAGAAAAAAATCATACACAATACGAAAGTGTCGCATTATATTATGTCGATTTATAGGCAAAATAACACTCTTGTATCTTATTGTTATCTTGGTAATGCAAGCACAATTAAGCTATATTAAGCTTAAATTAAGCAACCATTTTTGTGTTGCAACTGTCATGTAATGCGAAAATATGTACAGGAGGTGGTAAACTCTCACCTGCGAAATAATGACAACTCCGCGATTCACGAGTAGTGTCAGACATGGCAAAGTAAGTGGAACTACAACAGAACCAGCCAGAGTCCTGGTGTATGCTTCTTGTAATAACCACACCCACCGAGGCTTCGTACTTCTTGATTCTCATGTTGGACGTTAAGTTCTTGGAATAAGAGAGCGCTTGCCAGTGGTCTTTTCCTCTAGGTTTAATCAGATTTACGCGTGGTTTCTGTGATCAAGAAAAAAACATGGAAATATTTGGGACTTAAATCAGCTGAATTGTTTATAATACTATATCAGTGATGGTGATAGAAGTTAATAGATATTAAAAAGATGTATCGTGACGAAATGCCATTGTGTATAAGCTAGTTATACGGGACATTTGATTACAATAAGTACAATGACCTAGAAATTAAAACTAAACACGTTTTTAAAAATAATTATTTAGCAGTAAAAAATATAGTCGTCAGTAACAAATTAAACTGAAAAAAATATAATTGTTCTTTTCTTCAAATAAATTCTATGGTCAGCTAAAAATGTAAAAACATATTCACTACTATTACTGTTTTTACAATTTAAGCAATTAATTTTGTTTTGATTAAAAAAAAAATTCAGTGCATTTAAATTCTTATCAAATGTTAGATTTGTAATGTACGTCACGACCCTACGTTGTTTAAGTTAGATTTTTAAGTTTTCATTGGTTGTATGTATGTTACCCACTTCTCGTTCTTGTCTTTGCCAGCTAGAATTTTTTTTTCCAACCAAATATAACATTTTTATTAAATCGGAAAAAATAACAAAAAAAAGTTACTTCTGTTATTGTTAAGTTGCTTACAATCGTAAACATTGATAATTATAGACTTCAAGTTGTTGTCTAGATTAAAGTCAGGCCTGTCCATGTGTGCAATATTTTAATTTGTTTTATTAATTTTAAAACCTGTAAAAAACAACTAATTTTTTTTCGCAAATTTATATCAGTTTCTGGCTGTCTGAAGAGCCATATACGTCGGACTCACAAGTCCCCTACATGATAGCGAGCCAGGAGATTTGTCCGCACTAGACGGGCGAATCTCCGTTGCTTGCTCTAAATAGCGTGGGGGAGGAGAGGTGCAAGACTGCCGAGAACCAAGAAGGGTTTTGCTCTCGACCCTAACCAGATGTCTTGACTTTAAGCTGCGGCCTTCACGTGGCTTCGGATGTGTGCCACTAGTCGGACCAAGCTCATGACCCCCCTAGTGGGTGCGGGATGGCTAGTGGTAGCCAACAGCAGCTAGAGGTTTTTGATCTGGCCGAGTAGAACTGCTGTATGCGTTCGGCTCTTCCGAAGAGCCTGGTACGTCGGACTCCCAAGTCCCCCACACAATAGCGTGGGGGAGGAGAGGTGCAAGACTGCCGGGAACCAAAAGAGTCCGCCGCCAGATCTTTATTTTGACTTCAAGCTGCGGCCTTAACGGGGCTTTGGAATAATGCCACTAGTCCGACCAAATTCATGTCCCCCTAGTGGGTGTGGAATGGCCAGTGGCAGATAACAGCAGCTAGAGGGTTTTGATCTGGCTGAATGCCCCCCACGATCAAGCTGGGTACCAGGCGGTAGGACGGCGTCCGGCGTCTGGTGGGTGGGGAAGGAAAGCCCGGTGAGAGCCCACGGAAGTAGCGACCGATGTGTGGGAAACTCTCTCGGGGTTTGCCACACTGAGGCCTGCCTGGCTAATGGAAATGAACCTTCTGAGCCGGTTTCCGTATAAGAAAAAATCTGTTTCTGGCTAATGAAATTTTCCAATTATAATGGAAAGAGAGATCACGACTTACAAGCCCTATTGTCAACCTGCTAAAAAGTTACAAATAAGGTTTTAGAGCAAACCTTTTATTTGAATTGATTTAAAAATAACAGGAAATGAAAGTTTGCAAAAGCTTCTAACACATACTCATTGGAAAAATGCAATATGTTTACAAATAGTTCAAACTTCAAAAAAATGACGTTAAAGTTAGAAAAAAGTTTTAAGAACTAGGAGAACTTTATAATATTAAAGTATAGCATCGTTTTTGCTTGCGATTTGGAAGTACATGACGGTGGGTAACGAAAAAGGAAAAAAAATATAGTGGATGATTATCAAGGATTAGTAGCTTCAACTGCTTTGAATATTAAAAGTATATTAGTGTAATACTGTTTAAAAAAATGAAAAAAAAAATGCGAACTATAAATTACATATGATACTTAATACCAAATAGAATTTTAAAATATTTTTATCTAAGGCGGTAGTTAAGTCAAAACTTTCTATAATTAGGTGGTTGTAAACTTAAATTATCTTTGCTTCAAACATGCCATTTGCTTATAATACAACACTTTTATTTAAAACAAAAACTCTTGATCAACCATACACTTACTTCTTTGTTGTTCGGATCTATTGTTATTTCATACAACAGATATGAATTGCGATCAACTTCTTTATTTTGCCAGAACAACGACACGTTTTTCAGCTCTGTTGCTTTTTCGGGAACTCCGGCAAGGGTAGAATCACATGTAATTATTGTATACTCTCCTTGGTTATGTACTATAGCTCGGTGAGAAACTGTAAATGTAAGTAAAGAAAAATGTAATGACACTAAGTTTAAAGTAATAATTTATTTTCGATATTCAAATTATATCTCTTTATATGTTTCTGTCGACGTTTCTATCTACGTCTGTGTCTCTGTCTAAGTCTATGTCTATTTATCTATCTATCTCTCTCTCTCTCGTTTTATCTCTCTCTCTCTTTATATATATATTTATATATATATATATATATATATATATATATATATATATATATATATACATATATATATATATGTTTGTATATATATATATATATATATGTATGTATGTATGTATATATATATATATATATATATATATATATATATAGGCCTATATATATATATATATATACATATTTATATATATATATATAAACACACACATATATATATATATTTACACACACACACACACATATATATATATATATATATATATATATATATATATATATATATATATATATATATATATATATATGTGTGTGTGTATATACGTATATAAAGGCTATATATAATTCTGTTTTTTTTAAATAAACAATATATTAATGTAGAAAAGAAACAAATGAAGATGCTGATTTACATATGATATTCAGACGCTAGCAAATTCAATTTGAAGAAAATATTAAATAATTGAGAAAAGATTGAGACAATATAAAGACAATAAAATGTAATAAAACTAATACAAGTAAATATGGACAGGTTCATAGCATTTAAATTTCATTTTAAAAATTTATTTTAGAATTCCAGTAAAATGTAAAATTAAGATATTTAACAAGACCTAACTAAAAGATGCAAACCTGTAACATTCTCACAAACGCTTGAGTTTTCGGCATCTTTTTGCCTGACGAAAACGCTATCGCAGCAAAACTGGCCTTCGTCATCCGGTTTAACATTTACAATGTCGAGTTCCATCCTGAATTTGTGACTATCGAAATATCCATTACCGTTCTTGTAGTCGGCTCCGTAATGCCTCAAACGCCAATGACGTTTTAATTTATACCTAAAACCTCCCTATGCAAAGAGTTTTTAATAAATGCTAATAGAATGGTTTAATAACAGGTCTTTATGTAATAATGCATTATTAAAAAGGAGAAAACAAAATTCCGTAAATATATAATTATATTATTAACAAGTATTTAAACACATGAAAACAAAAGCGTGGGTTGCTATATTTTTTATTCAATAGCTTTACTAGAATTTAAAAAGCGACCCATGTATGTATTTTAATGTAGGCCTACTTTAAAATGTATGATACAAACAAACGAGTTGCATTACTAAAAACAATTGCGCACTAATTGAACACGAAATCATGTCCGTATAATAGCGCGGTAATTAGTACTTAATAAAGGATTTTTTAATAAAGGAATATTTTATTTTATTTTAAATAGTGTTGTATGACTAAAAATTATTGCACACCTAATGAACATGACAACGAGCGTGTAATAGTGCGTAATAGTTGGATAAGAAAGCCTATGAATTTGGACACAATTTTAATTAATTAATACAAAATTAATTAAGCGTCCAATCAAGTCAAAGTTCATGTCCAATTGAATTGTCTTCATGTCTTGACACACATGCCAACTTTGAACCGAATCTGTAAGTTAGAAGTGCTCGCGCGTTTCGATCTTTGAGGACTGACGATGGTCAGAATGGACGACGAAGCTAGTTAAATAAAAGCTTGTAAAAATATAATTCTAACTGAATAATTTTCCAAATTAAAAATCTTGTTTCGAAGGTTATATTTATTTTTTAAAGATAAATGCCTACTAAATCAGTTACTGCATTATTTATTTTTTACTGTTTAAGAAGTCAGTGCTGTTCGTGTATTTTAGTATAATTATGTTTTAGGAACGTTTCATGTTATGTTTGGTGTTAGGGGTTGACTTTTTATATTGGCGTGATAGACGCGTAGGTTAAGGGCAACTAGATAATACGTTTAAAAAGAAATAGGGTTAGTAATTATTAAATATGAAAGTTATTAAATTTAAGCTTGGACAGGCTGATATATTACGATGGCTTAATTTACAATAAAAATAAAATTTAGTATTTCAATGTATGGTAATTCACTGAATTTGCCCATCTATAATGAATATTTTCTGTATATGAAAATACAGGCAGCCGATAATAGAAGCAACAACCATCAACTTTCAAATCTAGAGCATCATCGTATTTTACTATTTATTTTTAATTTAAATGCTGAACACAACTAGGTTGTTAATTAGGTTTATTTATTGGATATATCACTATTTTAGGACATGATAAATAGAATAAATTAAGTTATTGGGTTTTACCCATCACTATTTTAGGTGATCATTAATATAATAAATGAAGTTACGTCTATGTTACGTTTCGTTGCAGGTGGATTTTTATTTACTGTTATGGTAGAGTTAGGGTCAGATTAAATCGATATGATACTAAGTATAGACTCACAATAGGTAAGTGTGATTAAATTTCGAAATTATTAAAGTGGTCTTGATTAATTAAACAGTCTCGTTACGATGTTTAAGCTATTCAAGTAATTCTGCGTATTAACCGCCTGTGGTGTGTTGGGGTATGTGTATGATTTAAGGCTAATGTTTGCCAAACAAACAATCAGTAGCGTGTTAAAACCAATAATAATTTCAAGTCAATAAGTCCATATATGTAAAAAATGTTTAAGAGAGCAATACACTGTGGATAAGATCGGCTATTAAGAAATGTAACAAATTATAAAATAAAAACTCTCAAGTTTAATACTCTTCTTCCTTTTTAAATTTATAGTTGAAAGATATTCCCTCCAACACAACTTGTTATGCGCAAAACCGCCGTTGACTCAATTCTCAGCCCGCTTAATTTTCTGGAAGGGTTCCATAGCCTTTGTCCGACCAAAAAAATAAACTACAAGGCAGCAGTTGTTTGATGTTGGAGTTGTCTCTCCTAGATGGGTGGCTGACCTCGGGCACCATATGTCTGTGGGTTCCAACTCGTGACTGTTGGAACCAGCAACCATAAGCAGTGGCGTAGCGAGATCGGGTATCACCCGGTGCGGCACTTAATGGTGTCACCCCCCCCAGAGGCGTAGTGACCCTTCCCGGGGACAAACTTTCAAGTTTTTGATTTGCACCCCCCCCCCATCAAACTTTCAATTTGCACTCCCCCCCTCAAGTTTTTCTTTATATATTTTGCTATTTTTTGCCTTGGTGTCACCCCCCACTTAATGGTGTCACCCGGTGCGGTCCGCCCCCCCCCCCACGATTTGCCTATGACCATAAGCCTAACTGACTCCCTATTTTGAAAAAAAAAACTTACTTGTACTGTGTACTCGGCCTCGTATGTGTATCCCTTCCAACGCAGCGTCAGCGCAGAGATTCCTCTAATAGTACTTTCCTGTGGAACGGCAGCTAGATCAGCATCACAGAAAACAGTAACTTCTCCACCTTTCAATATTTGTTTTGGCGCTATTGATTTATGTAAATCTGAAATAAAAACACTCAAAGCTGTCCTTTAGCACGCAACGAGGTTTACTAGTACAGGATAAGCCAGCTTATGTCCAATTTAAAAAATAAAACGTAACTTTCATTAACTAGTTAATACCTGCGAGATTTATTCCTTGCGCTCCTCGCTGACGTTGGGTGAAGCTATGGCATATATATATATATATATATATATATATATATATATATATATATATATATATATATATATATATATATATATATATATATATATATATATATATATATATATATATATATATATATATATATATATATATATATTGGCTTGTACTCTATTGTTGATTCTTAAGTAAGCATGTTGGCTAGTACTATATTGTTTATTTTTAAGATAAATGGTAACTTGGTTGCTTATTAAAGGGGGTTAGGTGACTTGGGCTAGTTACAAAAACCCAAGGGGTTAATCTAAGATATTGGGGATGAGCAGGCCGGGGAAATCTAAAATTTAATTAAAATGTTATCGGCACACTCTGGTCTTTAAGGGCTAGGAGCTCTATGCAGGTGCATGAGTGACAAGTAGTGCTGGGAAGAAACCCGGGATGATTTATGTCTAAAGTTGAGTTCGGACATGCCGCTGGACGTCCCGGTAGAATTATAACTCATGATCTCTGTTGTGGTCAGTTGTCAGGCGTAAGGCGCGGCGGGAGTACCGCGTGGCCGTACGTAGCTCGAGCGGTGTATGACATGACCGTTACCCGGATACAACGTGAAGATCTATAGCGGTCAATTATCGGATGTGAAACGCGTGAGTGCATAGTGATCGGCGTTATCTCGAACGTCGAGGGATGGTACGGAGCCAGACACGGATCATATGTCTATAGTGAGATGATAAGGAAGCACGACTAACCTATATATGAGGAATGATAACTATGCTTAGGGCTCTCTCTCTCACAGACACATAGCTGAGGCTAGACCCTATGGTCGAGGCCTTGGAGGGTGGCAGCCTTAAGGGCTGGCCACTAAGGCTGGATTATTGGCCCAGTCGATGTTTTGTTGCTGTACATATGTGCTTCGATCCAGATATTTACATGTTACCTATGTTTATACATGTGGCTAATGTTGTACCAGTGGCCAAACGTCTGCCGTGTAGATATGTTCTTCGTTCCAATGGCCATTATCTTTGTGGCCCGATGTTTGTACCAGTGGCCAAATGTTTATTTCAGCGGCTGGAAACTTCCTGCCGCTTGTGTGTCGAGCTAGATTGTTGTGAGCACTGATGAGTATTTTATAGAAGGATTGTAACCGTGTTTGATTAGTGGAATTAGAACTAGTGATGATAACATTTACCCGTGTGATTCTGATATTACACAGCAGTGCAAGTAGTAAAGTTAGAACTAGAGACGATGACATTTACGTTTTTGATTTTGGGATTACATAGCAGTAGACGGGAGCATGCCATTTATGGCCCCGAGCCGACCATATTACATTTTTTAGTGTTAAAAAAAATATTTTTTTGTATTCTTGCCTTGACGACAAAAGCTTGTGTAAATAACAAACAGATGTACTACATTAACATTAGTGATGTTACACAGTACCTAACACTTGATGTTGCGTAAAAAAATATATATGCCTAAGCTGTAGTGTGAAATATAGGCAAACGTTCAAAACACTTCCAAGACTTATTTCTCTTTTTTTGAATATTTAAATTGGTGTGCTTATAAGCTCCTTTTAATATATTTGTACTGAAGAAATTAAAAAGCAATTACTTCTCATAATTATCATTTAAAAAAAATACATACTAAAGAATGACATAGCATAAAAACTAAATGTATTTCAAACAATTAATATAAATAAAACAAAATAAAAATATCAAAATAAACATAACACGAGAAACCATTAAACTTACAAAGCTTTTTATGTTTTATATTCCTTTGACCGGTTAAAAACTAAAGGGTAGGCAAACATAATGAAAAAACTAGTTCTAAAAACAAAAATTCAAAATAGACTAATGCACTCGCACATATGACATGTTGTAATTTGTTTAAATTGAAAAAAAAAAGAGACGGACACGTACACGGACTGAGACACAGACACAGACACGTACACGGACACGGGCACGTACACGGACACGGACACGGACACGGACACGGACACGGACACGGACACGGATACGGATACGGATACGGATACGGATACAGATACAGATACAGATACAGATACAGATACAGATACAGATACAGATACAGATACAGATACAGATACAGATACAGATACAGATACAGATACAGATACAGATACAGATACAGATACAGATACAGATACAGATACAGATACAGATACAGATACAGATACAGATACAGATACAGATACAGATACAGATACAGATACAGATACAGATACAGATACAGATACAGATACAGATACAGATACAGATACAGATACAGATACAGATACAGATACAGATACAGATACAGATACAGATACAGATACAGATACAGATACAGATACAGATACAGATACAGATACAGATACAGATACAGATACAGATACAGATACAGATACAGATACAGATACAGATACAGATACAGATACAGATACAGATACAGATACAGATACAGATACAGATACAGATACAGATACAGATACAGATACAGATACAGATACAGATACAGATACAGATACAGATACAGATACAGATATAGATATAGATATAGATATAGATATAGATATAGATATAGATATAGATATAGATATAGATATAGATATAGATATAGATATATAGCGGGGGTGGGCCTAGAAATTTTATTGTGGCCCTTTTTTTCTAGTTCCATCACTGATGGTTCGATCCCTTACAACACTAAAAATTAAGAACGAAGAAGAGGAAGAAAATATACAAAGAAAGAAATAGAAAGAGTGAAGTGAGAATGAGAGAAAGAGAGATGAGAGTCTTCATACAAATTTATGAACTAGTTATCTTCTCTCTTTTCTCAAATGGATAACATAACTTTATTTCCTATCAACACTATATCTGGATTTAATAAATTTTTGACCAAAATAATTTGCTTACCTTGTGCTGATATGGACCAGACACCCAGGAATGCTAATGCTACCGTTATCAGAGCCATGTTTGCTTGTTCCCTATCTCTTCATGTTTATCAAGGCGATTTGTTCTATGATTTCCGTTCTTTTATCTTGAACTCGAAGACCCAATGTAAAGTTGTTTTAAATGCGCACCAAATTTATGGATAACACGAAAATGCATGCCATTTATTTAAAAGCAACCAATCAGTACCCGTTACACGTGAAGTGTAGGATTATATTTTTTAAAATGTTATACTTGTTTGAGAAAAATATTATTTAAAATAGTAATTGGTCAAAAGACAGTTTGCTTTACTACACATCAACTATATTATTGGAAAAACAAACAAATAGCTAAATTGATAACAACCCAACACATTTAATATTTCATAGGCTTCCAATACGTATAAGAGAAATTAAAACCAAATTATAAAAATTATTAGTCAACACAACAACATATTAAATTCCTATACTGATTAAGTGCCTTAGATGTTTCCATTAAAAACCCGTCTATTCAATGGTATTAAAAAAAAATAATTTGTATTATTTTGTCCGATAAAATTTTCCACGACTCAACTTGTTTATTTCTTTTATATCCGATTTAAGACTCCAGGCGTCACACATGTACATATATATATATATATATATATATATATATATATATATATATATATATATATATATATATATATATATATATATATATATATATATATATATATATATATATATATATATATCGTGAAAATATACCTATATATTTGCCAGGGGCGTAGCGACCCTTCCCTGCGACCTGTGACACATTTTCAATTTGCACCCTCCTCAAACTTTCGATTTGCACCCCCCTTAACTTTTCAATTTGCACCCCCCCCCCCTCTACTTTTCAATTAGTAACCCCCCCCCAAAAATTTTCGATTTGTACCCCACCCCCCCCCCCCCCTAAGGCTTCAAATGCAGCTAAAATGACAATTTAATTTGTTTTTTCAACCCATTTTGTCGCCCCCTCCCCCACCCCTACGCCTCTAATACTTGCACACGGTCATGCCATAGCTAGTTGCAATTTTCAAACATTCCTCTGTGACTGATTCATTAGCTTATTTTAAGTTTAGTTTTATCAAGTAAAATCTTCAAAAATTTTTTACAAAAATAAAACAAAACTAAAACATTTTTAATGTCGTCGAATGGAGGTGAGCAGAAGACGTGTCTTTTTTTTTTCAATTAGATGTGTTCATTAAAGAAAAAAAAATGTTTATTGGCACATTTATCCAATCGTCCGATAATAACTTGCTTTTGCAGTTTTCCAATGTGGTGTCAACCTAATCTATTTCGCCGGACGGTGTGTTGCAACAGGTGTCCCCCCCTCCCCGTCTCGTCAGTGTTATAATGTTTAATATCGTCAATCGCCCCCCCCCCCCTCGCACTGGTTATTTATAAAACATCACACCAAATCTTTTTTATTTCTATGTAATTGTGCTAAGTTTTTAGTTGGCGCCATAGTTTTAACTTGCGCACCGTTAATAGTAACATTAAGTTTATCTGTAGTCGTTTATTGTATGTAACAGTGCTTTTATCTAAATCTAGCAAATTTAGTTCATAGTGTCGATCGCCCTTTGTGGAAAAGGTGAATTTACGTTTAAAATATTATTTTAACTTTTATTAATGAGTACTTGAACTAAAACAAGGATACGTCGACTACTGTTTTTGTCTATGATTAGTCGAAGTAAAGCTACACTAGCGTAGTACCAACACAGCAAGACCTCCACTTCTGTCATTGATGTCGCCAGCAGCTAAACAAATAATATTCCACCAAACAGGTATTAGCATCGAAATAAATAAAGAAAATTTGAGGCACAATTTTTGTAATAGGGTTGGAAAGCTGGATTCAAATCGTTCAAAATGGTTGTTGACAAAAAGCATATTTTTCAACCAAACTTATATTTTATAATATTTGAGAAATACTATTTTATTTCAAATTTAGTAAGTTTAAGTAGACTTTTCAATCCTATTAATCGACGTCCATAAAAAAAAAATAAAAACAGGACGGTTAATCTTCCTAATAAAACAAATCAAAGCTTGGTTTATTTACGTTTTCAAATTTTAATTCTTCTATATGATGTTTAATAATTTCTTTCAGATGTTATTTTCAGAAATGTTTTTGTAGCTCTTTCACGATGTAAAAAACGAAGAGCTTTTATGCTGTCCTCATAGCACAATATGAGACATATCGCTTGTTGATAAAACTTCCAGATGATTTTTGTTGCCTTATTACACGATCTTGTAAAATATTATGAACTTTTATGTTTTCCTTTTATCATAAGATGAGACATATCGTTAGTTGATAAATCCTCAAGATGGTTTTTGCCTTTTATGCGAAGAACAAGACTTTTATTAACCTATAACAGAGATAAAAATAAAATTATAAAAATGTATTAATAAGCTGCGTCTGTTGACTGAAAAAAAAATTATAATATTAGTAACATTATACTCAATTATTCGTTACCCCAACCCTACAGTTGTTTAAATCTACGATATAAACAGCTAGGTAATACAAAACTTAGTAGACATCGCGTTAGATTTAAAATAAAAAAAATGACATGCTCTGTTTTCATCGAGTTGTGTTTTTGCATATTTAACTGAACTGCCTTTTTTTTTAAATTTGTCGGCAAAGTTTCGTTCTTGTTGCATTCATCACACAAAAATAACATCCAAAAATATACATATAGCCTACACATAGCTTACACCTATTTAAAACGTATTAGTTTATCAACGTTGCAAAAACACAAACTTATAACAACAATTTAAAACAGTTAATAAAAAATGTAAGAACTACTTTGTTACGGAAAGGGTGTTAATTTTAAGAGAAAAAACTATTAACACACTTTTGCTTTTAAATTGTATATTTAGTGAAATCTAAATAGCAAATAGGTTATTAAGTCACATCGTCTAAATTAGAATAGATTAGAGTTTAAGGTTATTTATTATGATTTCCTATTTTCTGTACACAGTTTTACAGTAATTATAAGCTGTACATCACAAATCAGTACGTATTTCTCCTTTTTTTTAAAACTTGCCTATATTACAGGAATTTAAGGAAAGGTTAAACAAACTTTAATTTTATAAATGAAAATAATCAATTTAAAAAGTGATACTTTCTTACGGAAGATAATTTAGAGAGAGGCAAATATATTGGTTATTATATAATATAAACTAATTTTTTTTTAGCATAGAGTATTTATTTTCGGTAGGTTAAATAATTTAATTAGATACATTGTTAAGACTGCACTGTAATGTAATCATTAGATTAATTTATATTTCTTTTTAAAAACTCTTGCCAATTTTTCTATGAAATGTTTTAAGGAGTTAAACTTATAAAAGACTGTATGACTGTGTGTGTGTGGTTAAAAATTGGACATTTTGGTAACAATTACTACCTAAATCTAAATATTTCCGTTTATAAATAGTGCGCTTTTCGGTCAAAAGCGGATGCAGTTTATTAATTATGTTTCTTTAAGGGATAATGTTATTTTAGTAAAAAAAAAATTCAATGCATCTCATTATTATTTAGCGTAATAATTTTAACTCATTTTAAACTAATTTTTCTTTATTATAATTGTTAGAAACTAGTAAAGTAATTCTAATAAAATTAAAAAAAGCCCTTTTACACGACAGAATATATGATTTTCTAATGAAAGTCTACTGATTAAATCAGTGCTCACATTTAAAATTGATAAAAATAAAAAGAATAAACGTTTGGCATCGAAATGTATCACTCTTAATCTTGTGCATTAAAAGTTAAGTAGTGAAGAGGGTGGAATGGATGAATGTTTTTTGTACTTTCTAGTTACTTGGTTTCGTTATTAGCCACTCTTCGCTGCGTGTACATCAACATAAGGTGTCTAATATTTACTAATATTTAATAAGCCAATGACAGCTAATGCTTTAAATTATCTAATCAAAATTGAATACAACCCTTTTAGTCATATTACTCTTCAAAATGTGCTGACCATAAAAATAAAACATATATTACCCCTAAAAATTTGAGCAGATTCCATGAGGAAAATCAGCAAACCGAAGATTAGACTCCCGGTAACTGTCTTGACTGAGCTCCCGCTTGTTGAGTATGCCTGGGTTCGAATACCGTAGGCTATACATAAGGAGACACTTTTAGATCAAGACAAATTTAACTAAACAAAAAATAATTTTAAAAATTAATATACGTGGTAGAAACTTGCAAAATTTATAGAACGAGCCGACCCGCGGCATATCATACGTCGCTATTTAGTTGTTGTTTTTTTCTACTTTTCAGTAATTCATAATTTGTGAATTCGACAGTACTAACGCTGCCACTCAAAATATTTCTTTAAAACACTATAAGTAGCTCGTTAAGGACGATAACCCCCCTCCCCTCCCTCCGTTAAAGTAAACTCCACTTAGTTACCCCCACCCCTTCCCCCTACGATTAAAATCGTTTCAAACTAAATTATCTGCCCCTAATAGTCGTTACTAAACCCGGCTCTGCTTGTAAACATTTAGCGTGAACCACAGCTCACCAGACTATGTAGGGGTGGGGGTGGTAGGGAGCGCGCTTACAACTTGTCTGCCCCTAATAGTCGTCACTAAACCCGGATCTGCTTGTAAACATTTAGCGTGAAACACAGCTCACCAGACCATGTGTGGGTGGGGGGTGGTAGGGAGCGCGCTTTTAGCTTGTTTTCTAGCGTCTCCAGGAAGAGAATTATATATATAGATAAATGTGCTTTGTCTCTGTTCAATTAAGGGTTAATTTGAATTAATACCCCTATATTAATAATGGACTATAGATAAACGTCTTTACTATCAACTGTGCACACTTTAAAACTATAACCTGGGGATATGGGGGGGGGGGGGGGGGGGTGGGAGGGTAACTTTAACTACACAATTTACAGAGAAAAGGTTTTGTTTAAGTATTTTGAATAATTTGTAAATCTATCATCGACCGGGGACAGAGTGATAGCGAAAACCAATAAAGTACGAAAAAAACGTTGCTTTTTCCACATTAGTTAAATGGTGGATTAATATAATAATGCACACATTGACGCCATTAGACAAAAGGGGAAGGGGTGACACCACTTGTAATTATATATACAGGAATACGTATGAGGTGACCCCGAGCCAGGTGACGCCACTGGTATCACCCCTACCCACTTGTAATAATTGTCGCTTTGTATTTAAAAAATACTATTTAATTACATATTTTAAACGAACTGGCAAAAATAGCATTTTTCTTCCGTAAATTCTTTTTTCTTTGTGTCACCCCCCCCCCCCAATAGTATCACCCCGCCCTCGCTATGCCTCATTGTTAGCTTGATAATTTAAGCATAATTAAACAAACATTATTGCATACAGCAAAAACATTTTTTTTTGCAATGGTCAAATAATGCGCAAATACATACTGGGCGTGATCAGTACTTACCTGGTAAATAATTGCAATTCCGTGATTCACGTGTGGCGTCGGTGATGGTGAAGTAAGTGGAACTACAGCAGTACATGCCCGAATCCTGGGGCGTGCTTCTTGTAATAACCACACCCAACGAGGCTTCGTACTTCTTGATTCTCATGTTGGGCTTTAAGTTCTTGGAATATGAGATCGGGATCCAGTGGTCTTTCCAGCTTGGTTTGATCAGACTTACGCGGGGTTTCTGTGATCATGAAAAAAATGTTATTTCCTAAGCAGTGGCGTAGCGAGGTCGGGTGTCACCCGGTGCGGCACTTAATGGTGTCACCCCCCCCCCCCCAGAGGCGTTACGACCCTTCCCGGGGACAAACTTTCAAGTTTTCGATTTGCACCCCCCCCTCAAGTTTTTCTCTATATATTTTGCTATTTTTTGCCTTGTTGTCACCCCCCTAAGTGGTGTCACCCGGTGCGGTCCGCACCCCCCACCCCCCCCTCGCTACGCTCCTGTTCCTAAGTACAGTTACCTGTAAAACACAACGCTACTTTTTTTTTTATTAATATAAAGCAATAACAAATGTAATCATACGCTTTTAATTAAACTGAAAACAAAAACAGTTTTATTTTGTTTTAATTAAAACCATTGTCGGTAGAAAAAAATGTGAGAAATATTAACTGCTTTTACTGAACAAAGCTATTTAATTTTTGTTTTAATTCAAAACATATTTAGTACATTTAAATTCTAATCAAATATTTAAAAAAATTGTTCGTCATAATCCTACATGCTTTTATTTAGTCCACAAAATCAGTATTTTTAAAAAAATAAATGTGGCTGTTCGGGTTGTGAAAATCTAGAAACATAAACAAATTACGATGTGGATATTTATTTCAAAATTTACATACACATTACCAAGATACATTTGCTTAAATTCTCTACTCAAATGTATTCAAAGTATTTAAATATTTATCTAATTAAATGTCAAAAGTGTAGTTAAAATTATTAATTAGTTGCGATATTTTTAAATGTTCTATTCTACTATTTTCGTGTTCTTTATGTCTTGTAAGTAAATCACCCATTTTTCGTTCTTGCACTTGCCAGCTAGAATTTCTTTTCAACCCAATTGTGAATTTTTTAAATTAAATTGTTAAAAATAATTTTAAAAAAAGAAAACTTGCTGCTGCTATTCTTAAGTAGGCTAGTTTATTAAAAGTATTATTTAAAATATATTAATAAAATACTTTTTTAAAGGTTTGTTATTAATGGGGTTTCATTTTCAAGCATTCGGGAACATTTAAAAAGGCAAACTATAAACTACATATAAACAATTAATACTAACTATAATTTAAAATTGTTTTTGTCTAAAAACGCAGTCTAGTTAAAACTTAATTTTAATCTCTAATTAGGAGGTTGTAAACTTAAACTATCTTTGCTTCAAACATGCAGTACAATACCACAATTTTATTTAAACAAAACCTCTTGAACAACAATACACTTACTTCTCTATTGTGTGGATCTACTGTTATTTCGTACAACAGATAGGAGTTGCGATCAAATTCTACATTTTGCCAGAACAACGACACGTTTTTTAGCTCTGTTGCTGTTTCAGGTACTCCGGCAAGGGAAGCATCACAGGTAATTATTGTATAATCTCCTTGGTGTTTTATCATAGCTCGTTGTGAAACTGTATATGTAAGTAAAGCAAAATGTAATGACCCTACGTTTAAAGTAATCATTACATAATTCTAAGGTTTAGAAAAATAAACAAGTAGATCTAGATAATTTCCTGGGGCTCCGCGCCGACTTTGGGTTTAGCTAAGGCGGTTTTCCATGACAAATGATCGCACACAAAGTATATCACTGACAAATGATCGCACACAAAATATATCACTGACAAATGATCTCACACAAAATATATCACTGACAAATGATCTCACGCAAAATATATCACGGACAAATGATCTCAGGACAAATGATCTGAAGGACAAAAGATACCAGGACAAAAATATCATGACAGCTGATATCTTAGACAAAATATATCTGGACAAATGATATCATGGACAAATGATCTCTGACAAAATATCTCACATCTATATATATATATATATATATATATATATATATATATATATATATATATATATATACAAATACAGAAAGAAGGAAAGAGAGAGATGAGTGACAATGAATGAAAAAGAGAGATGAGAGTCTTGATCAAATTTTGTAAGCAAGTTATCTTTGTCTCAAATGGTGCTCGAAACTTTATTGTACGCTCAACATTTGACCTGGATTTAATTAATTTTTGACCAAAATACTTAGCTTACCTTGTGCTGATACGGACCAGACACCCAAGAATGCTAATACTACAGTAATCAGAGCCATGTTTGCTTATTCCCTATTTCTTCATTTTTATAAAGCCGTTATGTTCTATGATTTCCGTTCTTGTATATTGAACGCGAAGTCCCAGCGCGAAAGTTAATTTTAAATGCGCACCAATTTTAAAGAGATAATAACGAAAAATGCATACCGTTATATAAAAATGTATTGTAACAAAGATTTATAAAATTTAAAGTAAAGTGAAGATTCCTATTTAGACAGCGATTCACTGGGACATATGTCCCCCCCCCCTCGCTACGCCTATGGTATGCACTGACAAGTTCAGTACATGTAATAGGATAATAATAATAAGGGGGTAATCTAAAATATACCTTGGCTTAGGTATTTTAATCTAAAATAATAATATAGATAGGTTTAGGTGTTTTGCTAAATTGATTTTAGCGTTCGAGTAATAGTACATAAAATTTCAACAGATGAGTCTCATAACTTTAAGCTTTGTGGTAATCTATAACATTCAATTGTTTAATTTACCCTACGTTACCCTTAGGGCCGGCGCTACCTATAAGGCGAACTAGGTCGCTGTCCGAAGGGGGGGCGCCAAAATTTGCTGGGAGGGTGGGATGCAAATCGAAATTTTGTCCCCGGGCGCCGGGAAAGGTCGCTACGCCTCTGATAATACGGGGGCACCAAAAAAAATTGCGGGTGGTGAGGCGCTTTTAATAAGTTTTTCCTAGTGCGCTAAATAACCTGCCGCCGGCATTGCCTACCCTACCCTACCCCACTCTACCCTACCCTACCCTACCCTATCCTCTCCTATCCTATCTTACCATACCCTACTCTACCATAACCTACCCTACCCTATCCTACCCTAATTGAACATCGAATTGGCATTTTAAAAGTGTAAAACAATCGTAATTCTAAAAACATTTGCTGTCGTATATATTTGCTTAGGCGTAATCAAAAACTTTCATAGGTTCCAGATAAATAAATAATAAAAAAATAAATAAATTAGTAAATAAATAAAAAAATAAATGAATATATATATACTAGCCGTCCCGGCCAGGCCCTGCTCTGGTTTCTGTGAAAAAACCCTTCTGTTAAAGACCATCACCTGTGTGTTTAGTAATCATCATAAACCCGGCATTGCCCACCCAAACCACAACCAACCAAAACCAAAACAACAAAACGCAAACATAACGCTAACACAATTACAAATACAAACGAAAACAAAAACTTACCACAAACCAACCACAACCACAAACACCAATACGAACACAAAGAAAAAAGCAAACGAAAACAAACCAAATCCAAACACAAAACCAACCACAAACACAAACCCAAAGAAAAAAACAAACGAAAAAGCAAACGAAAACAAACCAAATACAAACGCAAAACCAACCACAAACCCAAAGAAAAAAAAAACACAAAAGAAAAAACAAACGAAAACAAACCAAATCCAAACGCAAAACCAACCTCAAACACAAATACAAACACAAACCCAATGAAAATAAAACACAAACGAAAACGAAAAAAGAAAGAACAAAAACGAACCAAATCAAAACGCAACCACTAACGCAAACCCAACCTAAACACAAAGAAAACACTAACGCGAATATAAACGCAAAGTGCTCACGGGGCTGAATCGCCTACTTCAGCTTAATAAACGACTATAGTACCCCAACTTATTCATAGTCTTTTGCACTCACTTTAATGAACGTAGGAGCGAAACCGAACACGGGAGGCCCGGGACCCCAAAAAGCACCCTGTCTGGGCGCCAGAGGACGCACCATGACGTCACCGCCTGATTGAACTTAGTAAACGCCTATAGTGCATAACTTATTTATAGTCTTTTGAACTCACGCGAACGTAGATACCATAGCGTACACCGGAAGGCCCGGGGCGCCAAATAGCACCCTGTCGGGGTGCCGGAGGACGCCCGGATTTGATTCACTTAAAGACTATAGTAACCTTTCTTATCCATAGTCTATCGCACTGTTTAAAACAAAATTATGCAGCATAGCGCTCACATGATAGCC